CTTTCTCTCTCGCGCGCTCTCTCTCTATTCCTCTCTCTCTCTCGCGCGCGCGCGCTCTCTCGCTTTCTCTCTCACTCTCTCTCTCTCTCTCTCTCTCTCGCTCGCTCTCTCTCTCTCTTCCTCTCTCTCTCTCGCGCGCGCGCTCTCTCTCTCTAGCTTCGCCTCTCTCCTGAGTCCGCTCTCTCTCTCTTTCTCGTTATCTCTCTCTCTCTCTATCTCTCTTTCTCTCTTTCTCTCTTGCTCTCTCTCTCTCTCTCTCTCTGCCTATCTCTCTCCCTCTCTTTCTCTTTTTTTCCCTCTTTCTCTCTTTTTTTCTTTCTCTTTTTCTTTTGCCCTCTCTCTTTCTCTCTCGTTCTCTCCCTCTCCTTGTTTCTCCCATACACTCTCCCTTCTTTCCGTTTCTATCGCTTTCTCACTTTTCGTTATAGGTGCACGCACTGAGCTCTCTCTCGACCCCTCACACTGTCTCTATCGTCCTTTACCTTTCTCTGGCGCCCCCCTCTCTCTCTCTCTCTCCCTCTCTTTCTACGTCTTTGCGTTTACTGTCGCGTCGTGGTGGCATTCACAGCTAAGCACCTAAACATATTTACTGTGTGCGAGTGCCAGCTCTGGAACAACCGCTATAACAAGCTAATCAGATCAACGTAATACTGTTACCGCTGTCGGCATCGGTCTTAGCGGTTGTTGTTGTTGTTGTTGTTGTTGTTGTTGTTGTTGTCGTTGCCGCTGCTGTTGTTTTTGTTATGGTTTTGTGGTTACTCCCGCTGCTGGTGCTGCTGCTGCTTTTGATGATGATGTTGTTGTTGTTGTTGTTGTTGTTGTTATTGTTATTGTTGTTGTTGTTGTTGTTGTTGTTGTTGTTGTTGTTGTTGTTTTCTGGCTTGTCCTGTCTGTCTGCCTGCACATTATTCTAACGTAATCAAGCTACTACCACTACCACCACCAGCAGCAGCAGCAGCAGCAGCAGCAGTAGTAGCAGCACGCGTGTGTCGGCGCGGGCCGCGGTCGATAGCCGCTGTTCAAGCCTCTAAGCCGCTCTCAGATCATCGCATGCGACAGGCCCCGCGCTTCCCTGACCGCCGCTCAAGCCACCATCGATTCCACCCACGGTCCGGCACCCTGACCCTCACTGAGCCGCAGTGACCCCTGGACAGTAGATCTGGCGAGACGAAATCCGGCGCCTCCCGCCGTGACGTCATGACTAACGTCATTAAGTGTAACGTCATTAGAGGGAAGTCGCCGATTTTTCGCGGAGCGCGCGAAAGCATTACGTCATTGTATTATTACGCCATTGCGGAGTGACGTCATCTGCATCGATGAGTGGGCATCTGCATAATGTCATCAATGAGCGTGCATGTGCGTCACGTCATCGCGGAGTGGGTTTTTTGTACGTGATGTCATCAATTTGTGGTCATCCGCGTGACGTCGTCGCGGGGCTCTGGCCTGGAAGCCGTCACGTGCACAGTGCGTGATAGCAACCGTGTCCGTGTCCGCGCTCGCGAGCGTTCTGGAGAGCGCGGCAAGTGTTGCGGTTAATCGAATAACGCGGATAACGAGGTTGCGTGTCTAACTGCGTTTGTGCGAGGAGTTGCGCGGACAGGCAGGCGGAGCACGCTCCGAACGAACCCCCTCCCACCCCTTACTGCAACCACCACCTCCCCTCCCACCCC